AAATGGCGAAACATTAGCAAGACCAGATCATCCTGGGCACCTGGCTGTGGCTTACCTTCATGTTGAACTGTTTGGGTTGGTTGGTTTGTCAGTGACTGATGCTGTTTGCCAATTAGCTCGATCGTTTTATAGGCCACTTGTGCGTGGGGGAGGCCTGCCTGCCTGGCCGGAGTGTCTCATTTCCAAACGGGTTTGCGGCTTAGGCATTCCCAATAACAACCGAAATCTAAATTAGAACACAATTCCGTCCGCATTGAATTTCTGCATGGTAACGTTCAATGAACGCGGATACCGCTGCCACCGCACCTATGTGACAGAACCCAGCGTCCGATGTTTGCCGGGTATTAGCAGTCGATGCCGTGTCAAATGGATTACTCTTTCCCTCTTTCCCTTTTGTCGCTTGTACTCCGGCGACAGCTGAAATGAACGATTCTGATTACTGATTGTTTGATGGAACACGTTAATTGATTATTGTGTTTGCTGTGTGGGCAGAGATCTCACCTGGCGTCGTGTATCCCACTTTATGGCAGCCCCAACGCACTCCACTCTAATGTTGCAATATTATTGTCATGGAAAATTGACCAGCGATTGACCCGAGTATGCATCACACTTATTAAATAGTTTAAGATTAATTCTTTGGTATTACAAATCCAAACGATTTGTGCAAAAAGTCATAATATTAGCAGAGATAATGGATTATTGGACTAGAACTCTGTTCACGCTATCGTGAAGTTATGAGAAACGCGTTTTTGTACAGTTTAATAATGGAATGTGTCTCGCTCGTTCTTATCAGCTATTAATTGAAGTATTTCCAAGCCAACAACACTATCATAAGGCACTTCTTGGACTTTGCAGAGCAATCAATGGCATGTAATCTTACGCCCCAGCTTCCGGCAAGGGGGGAGCTGGTGCCGTCACCAGGTCGAGGGTGCGCACAACTTGCCTCTGCCGCTTTCGTCGCACATCGATCTCGTAGAGTGCCAGTCCAAACTGATGCACGAAAGAGCTGAACTGCTTCGTCAGGTAGGAGTAGCTGAAAGCTGGCGATTGCTCCACGGCACAGGTGCCCCGTAGGTCGTCATGAGCCCAGTGCGGAGCATCCACATCGCAGGGATGGCGGCCCAGTATTCTGGGAAAAGCCTCCGTAGAGAGATGTGGATAGAAAACGTGAAGAAGCTCAAGGTTTAGATAACTGCTGGCATTGGAGCGAACCAAGGCCTCGAAGAGATCGCTACTCAAGGAGGCAGGAATGGACAGGTAAAGCTTGTAGCGCAGCCGACTCGGTCCGGACAACTTGACCTCGCAATTGCCGCTGATCAGTTTGACCTTCTGCAAAAGATTGTCCAAGGGCTGGCTCCCGTACTCGTACAAGTAGAAGTCCCTCTGGCGCCGATAGCGGTTATGGGTGTGCGGATTGAATTGGAGCACTCGGGAGCTGGGAATGTTCACCAGGTGCAGGGGCAGACTGTAAATGTGCGAGGTCATTAGGTGAACGTGGGTGGCCGCTGGCTTGGTGGCCATCACATGGGCCATGGTCTCGGCCAGCGGATAAATACCCGCCTGATGAATGAAGCCAAAGAAGACAGTCAACACTACGTTGCTCACATACCAAATCCTCAGCAGATGAGGGGCCGATGCTTTGCTGGAGAGCAGGCGGTCGTAGAACCTGCGCAGCAGGGGGTGCTCCTTCTGGAAAGGATACTTGGCACTGAAACCAGTCACCAGCTTGGGACCATGCAGCAGAAGCAAGGGAAAGGTTATGGGGATAAGGAAGCGAGGCTCCTGATGGTTGATGAGCGACAGGAAAAATAGTGGCACAAATATGGCACCAGACATGAGCGAGACAATGCTTTGGAAGCGCGGAAGCACTTGGTATTCGGCCCGAAAGAAACGCAGAAGGATCTGAGCAAATGCCCCGAGGCCTGCCAGGGCGAGAACATTGAAGAGCAGCGGCATGTTGACCATTAGGTGGACATAGCAGGGATGCACGCCATGGCTGGCCGTCTGGGCGGAGTTCAGGTTGTACTTGACAAAGTTCCAAGGCGTAAACACAAAGTTGTCAATGCCCAGCTGCATCATGTGCAGCTCTCCCACTGTGAGATGCTGATAGTACAGCGAGTCGCAGAATATGAACAGGAACAGCGCTGGCAGGGCGTACAAGCAGAAGAGTCCGATGCGTAGGTTAAAGTCCCTAAAGGTTACGCTGCGTGTGCCCATCCCGCGCAGCAGCCAGAAGAATACCATGGGTGCGCCAAAGAGCAGGAAGGTAGGCCGATTGAAGACGCCAGCCACACAGATACTGGACACGGTAAACATATGCTGGAAGTTGTGCGGCGGCAGGGCATTCTTCAGCTTCCAGATCTTGACGCGCTCGCTGATGGACTCCGCCTTGTCGTACTTCTCCTCCAGGAACTCCTTCTTGTATACCACGGTGTTAGTCCTCAGCATGCACTCGGAAACCAAGCAGAGCAGCCACGAGCACATGGCCATCTCGAGGCTGTTGGAGAAGGTTCGCGTGCCGAAGACCAGCAGCACCCAGGAGCTGCCCAAGGCCAGCAGTCGGATCTCAAAGCGCAGTCCGTACATCCGGCAAACGCGATACAGACACCAGTCATTGCTGTACGAGATCAGGGTGTAGATCAGCCGCGGAAACACCACATACGCGTACGTGCTGATCAGCTCTACATTCCACAAGTTGCGCATGTACACGGCGAAGAACTCGTAGAAGCTCCAGGGAACGCGCAGCAGCGCAAACGGAAGGGTGATGCTCCGCAGCGGCATCGAATTATTGAACTCCCAGGTGCGTGTGTGCTCCAGCCGGAAGTGGTCGCCTGCAAAAGAAGGCGGAGGTCATTACAGCAAAGCGGAAAATACCACCCTCTCCCCTTACCCGTCATCACTTCCACGCTCTGGAAGAACTCGTCGGGATGCACATAGCCCGGCTGTGGCACGAAAACCAGAGCCAGACGCACGACCGCAAAGAAGAAGTATGTGTTCACGTGCCTGTCGGTTGGAACACGGTTCTGCCAAAGCTGCGATATATGTCTGCTCAGGCGCATATCTCTGCCGTCCGTCGCTTTATTTGCTAATTTTTCCTTAATTTTCCTTGAAATGTAAAATCAAAACAAAACCGACCTATCGATAAATATACGGACTTATCGATAAAATAAATTCAATATTTTCCATATTCCTCGTTTTTTATCTTCCGTTTACCAGTTAAATAGACCATTTAGCCATGCCCACATAATTGTATACGATTGCTGAATCAATTTTCTACTTGACTGGCCTATTCTAAATACTTGCTTTTATAGGATTTCTATTTAACGTTGAAAGTTAAATTTAATAGATTGATGAAATTGACAAAATATACCATTATATACCGATAAACCGTAAATATACCGTCGGATAAATTTTGACCTCAAAAAATACCGAAAAGTATTGAAAATACCGTAAACGGTCACCCTGTTGTATGGTTAATGATATTATAGAGTAAAATTCGTTAGATTTTTCGCAAGTCCTATCGATAGTTCTTGCGGCAAGATATTTAAACAGCGGTAATTCCACCAAAATAATCATAATAAAATAAACGAAAAATCCAGTTGTAATAAATAAATTGATTACATTTTTTCAACTGAATTAATACTTCAACTAGCAATGAAATAAATAAATTATATTCCACTGCATAATCACATTCGATGATGTTTGAACTATCGTATTAAAAGATGATACACTGAAGTGTGACCACTTGCTTTAAACAGTTGCAGAGTCTCGGAATATTTCGGCGCCATAGTTTTGGAATCATTGTAAATTTGAATGTTTTCTTTCAGCAATTGTGATTCATGAAACGGCAATATAAATGCCTAGGACACGTATAATCACATGCACTTGAATTTCCATTCAAGCAATTATATCATATTTTCAGCTGCAGCCTCTCTCTTCGCCATCATTCCGTTCCGCATGCTTCTGGGACAGCAAATGATGATTGCATTTTCCTAGATGACGTAGTTTGCGGTTGGGGCTAGGAAATGCGATATCGGCTTACAGTTATACAAGCCAGCTTTTGTGGCAAAATAGTTCAAAAACGCACACCCAATGTACGAGTATCTATCCACGCTGATCTGCGGGCAGAGGTGGTGAGCACTAATCCCATGATTGGGCACAGTGTCGTCTGTGGAAGTACATCTCAATGGGCCCATTGACAGACAGAGCGTCTGACAGAGCGCTACCCACGCTGAGGGACCAGCAGAGATCAGATCAGATCAGAGCTGAGCAGAGCAGATCAGTCAGTATCGTTCTTCGTCAACATGGGAAGAGATGTGCGCGGCGGCTCTCTTGGGAGATCTCTCACCTACCCCAACCACATAAAACGTGTGCACCCCCAGGCGGTGGCAATCAGTTCACTCCAGATACCGCACTCGCCCCCACACCACAACGCGATTTGCAATTAAGTTGATTTACCTACTTGACAGTCGCTCCGCAGTCCGCAGTGCCCCGTCACGAGTCCCCAGTCACCAGTCCGCGCTCCAAAGTCTCCGTCTCCAGAGCAGCTCCAAGAGCTGCAGGCGCGCGCAGTCTACGCTCGGGATAATTAGCAGATTGTTAAATACGGAGAACAAAGGTCTCGCTGGAAGTTCTCTTTATCGATCGAAATCATTGCCAGACAGCAATACAAGAGCTCTTCAAATGGTAAACAACTTGTTATTTCTCTGAGTGAAGGCGATTCGGGGTATCGTGTCGTTTCCATTGAAATTCGGTTCGGTTTGATGCAATCGAAACCAAATTTAACCGAATCCAAGTATCTCTATGGCCATCGAAAGAAGATATATTTATATATGTATATTGTACTTCAAGTGAAAAAAAACCTCTCCCCCCTTACCGTGTTAAATTTCCAATGAAACGCAACTTTAGTTCAACTTTCAACGTATAGATATCCGTTCCAGTACCCAACTAAATTAGTGAAATAAAACTTTTGTCAATCGGCTGGAAAGCATTTAACAAGGCATACAAGTACAGGTGACACTTTACCTTACGACGGGGCCCACTCTCCACTCTCCACTCACCTCTTCGCACCGCACTCGTGGGTCATGGGATTCAATCAACTTCGATGAGCAACAGTTTGTTGCAATTTAAGTTACTCTTTGCCACCTGTCCAGCTCCATTCCGCCACGCCCCATGTGGCCGGCACAGGCACGAGGCTGCACACACACGATGGGGCTTGCTGCCGAGGACTTCGTGGCGCCCGCCTGCGCATCGCGCGTATAAAAGGACCACTCCGGCCGGAGGATTCATCAGTTGGCCCAGCGAAGCGGCGCGCGTCTCTCAATTCGAGGACCAAGGGACCCCCTCCAACAGTGTTCTTAAGTTCCAAAGTGTCCGGAAGACAAATAAGAATGTGTGACAATTGAAATTGTGGCTATTGAAATTTCTATTAAAATTCTTTGACGAAAGTAAGTGACTTTGAAGATTATTTTTAGCAGAACTTTACCATTGATTAAGTCGTTGATTTTTGAGATTTGTTATTCGTGCCTTCCTTTAACCAATTTTCGTATTAAAATATATTTGAATATTTATACAGATACCCGAAGTATATTTAATATCTAATTAAAAGCAGAATCTAACAGCTCCTCCCCTCGGTATCTCTGAGTATCTTTTGATTGTTTTGAATTGCGCTGCCTTCGGGGGGCATATTTTTAGCACCTGTGTTATCAGAATTTCGCATTTAACACCTCCATCTGTTGCCACACGCGGACGACGCGTCGTTCTTTATCTCTGCATGTGCCACAATTAAATGGTAATTAAAAAGTCCAACAGCACTCGCACTCGGTGCGGGGAAGGCCCAGAGAATAGATCGGGAGCTACATATGCTATTTGTTCTGTTGATTGTGTATTCATTAGCCAAAGTGGGTTATGATATCCAACCCATTAATCATACGGTACGCCGCCGCGTCGGCTGTATACCTTAAATAGATAAAAGTAAAAACCTTAAATAATTAAATTTCCAAATGAAACACAATAGTTCTGAGGTCAGATGTGAAAAGAGGTACTTTAAAGCATTGACATTGAATGGGTTTTGGCAGCAGCAGATTACCAGCAAAGGACACCGCCGGGAATTCGAATCCGAAACCAATGCATGTGCCACGGTCATCGCGGTGGAGGAGATTCTGCAACTGTTGCAGGGTCGAATGGGAAGTGGGGAAAAAGTATAGTAATGTGCACTACCCTTGGGGGCTTGGCAGAGTCAATAAATAGCCCCCCCAATGGAATCGTCCATGGCATGTATCCGTGTTGCTGCTCCATTTAATCTGAATGCTTAACCGCTTCCAGTTAATGGCCAGCAGAGGCATTGAAGCCTCCTCCAGTCCGCCGGAACCGTGCAGCATGTGAGAGGCCGAGTGGCGAAATGCCATTTTCACGACCACAGCGCTAAACGGGCCGGAAAAGAGAGAGGAAACTGCGAGGAAGCAGCCCATCCAGAGAGCAGCAGAGGACCGAGGACGAGACCTTGGCAACTCCCACCCCTGTTTCGCCCCTGGCCCCTGAGCTGACTGAGGAGCGATTCCGGCTGGCTACGCTAGTGCCGCGATCGGCGTACACGGCCACGCCTCCCGCCCAGGCCCAGGCCAAGGCACAGGCAGAGGCAGAGGGACAAGCAGCAGCCGATCCCTGCCCCAGAACGATGGAACGAAGCGCGAGTGTCAATAACAGCTCCGAGTTCGGCGGCGGCCACAGCTCAGCCTCGACGGCGGGCAGATCCACGGCCACGCCCTGGACGAACAACAAGGAGTCACCGAACAACGAGGATGACTCGAACGAGGACGATGGCGACACACTTGCCACACCCGCCAAGGTCACCGATCCGCTGGCACCGCGTCTGGCGAACAATGAGGTGACATTTCTAGCCTCCTTCCGTCTCTGTAAATAATCCTTCATATTCCTTCGGTGCCTCCTTGCAGCGTGTGCTGGTTGTGTCCGTGACGGAGCGTACCCGCGAGACTTGGGGCCAGAAGGCCGAGTTCCTGCTGGCCGTCATCGGTTTTGCCGTCGATCTGGGCAACGTGTGGCGTTTCCCCTATATCTGCTACCAGAACGGCGGCGGTGCCTTCCTAGTGCCCTACTGCCTCTTCCTCATCTTCGGCGGCCTGCCGCTGTTCTACATGGAATTGGCCCTCGGACAATTTCATCGATGCGGCTGCCTAAGCATCTGGAAGCGCATCTGTCCGGCCCTAAAAGGTGAGTGATTCCTGAAGACGTATTCTGTAAATAAATAACTTTTGGAGATACCCATTAACTGCACTGACTGTGGGTCTATTGAGTAATCGATCCAAGTGGGGCCTTAGCCTCTTAGCCTTATGAATGAATGAACAATTTTTTAGATTTAGATTTAATTATTTCTGTTTTTAAATGCTCACAACTCTGCAAAGACAGATCATTTCTGATTGCAATTTACATGCGACCTGAGGCGAAAAAAAAGACCCGTACCATACCTTAGCCGAAAAAAGAAAAACACACATAATTTCCCGGCTCGAGGCAATCACCGTTCCGCTTTAAATACGATATGAAATGGCAATTTAAATGAATTACAAATATTGAGTTTTAGTCGCGGGCAGAGATGAAAAACGAAATTGCATATTGAAATCTATTAAAGCGTTCAATATTTGCACAAGACGGGTAGATGGATAAAGGAAATAAAGAAGCAGTGTCCCCCCGGGGGCGAGTGTGTGTTGTAATGAAAAATTAAGTATACGCTGCCTGGACATGTGGCAGAGTGGCTGTGGAGTCGGGTCTATGTTGTTGATGTCTGATATTTCACGCTCTGCTTGGCAATATTATCTGTCCTGTTGCTAAGCCCGAGCCTGAGCCACAGTGGCTACCCGCACAAAGGACGAGTGCTCGGTTTCTGCATTGTTTTTTGGGTCTGGGCCACAGTTAAGAGGGGAGCGGAGAGCGGTAGGCGGGTCATTGTGTGCCGGCGACATTATCAAACAGGACGTTGGATAAGAGAGTCGTTGGGGCTGAATGCGAAAGATTTGTTGCAACAATTAATTGCGCATTCAAGCGAACAAAAACGACACAAAGCCCAAATCAAGCCCCCAATCCGACTCCGGGCTCTAATTAAATTGTGCTCAAAATTGATTTACAGCAGCAGCCGAACGAAACGGAACGGAACCAGAGGGAACTTCCATTCAGAGAGTTTTTGCATATCAACTTGATAATTTCGTTAGGTGACAAACAAAATGTACTCTGAAAACGACTCTGCATGCTCCATCCTTGGATTTGCCATCTCTCTTTCAACTCGGTCAAAACTTTTCTACCAAGCCAAGTCCCAGTCCCAGTCCAAGTCCCTCCCCTCCACTCCCCCACGGACTGTGCCCCGCTCTTTCAGTAGAACAGCAAACATCACTTTGTGGCAAGTCATCATTTGCTCAACAAGTGTTTGCTTTGGGAAACCTTTTGCCAGGGCGATTCAAATGAATAGAAAAGTCAGGAAAAGGAAAGGCGGAAAAATCTTGCTGGAGCCTCGGGAATCACGTGACGTGTCTTATTGGCCTCATAAGTAAAATGGAGTGGAAAACTGCTGCCGCCAGAGAGGGTGGAAAGGGAAAGAGGGGGAAAGCGATGTGACTAAGTAGATGCAATCGTTTGCCAGAAGATAAAAACCTGCAAAATGTCACGTGGGAATAGTCCAATTTCGCGTTTTTTTCTCATTTTCCATCGCTCTTTCAATCAGAAATATTGGCATGCCCAGTCCCAGTCACAGTCCCAGGACAGATTATTGTTGCCTTTAATGGATACTTGTTGAATCGAATGTTCTAGGGAAATACACATAAGTTGAGAGGCAATCGTTTAAAGGAATGGACTTTCCACAGGTGTTGGCTATGCGATTTGTTTAATCGACATCTATATGGGGATGTACTACAACACAATTATTGGATGGGCGGTCTACTATCTGTTTGCCTCATTCACCTCGAAGCTGCCGTGGACGTCGTGCGACAATCCCTGGAACACGGACAACTGTATGCCCGTGACCAGCGAGAACTTCACCGAATTGGCCACCTCGCCAGCCAAAGAGTTTTTCGAGTAAGTGTCCAGAGTCCTATAGGAGTCCAGCGGTTCCCTTTATTCCCTCTTTTCAATGCAGGCGCCGAGTCCTGGAGAGCTACAAGGGCAACGGTCTGGACTACATGGGACCCGTGAAGCCCACCCTGGCTCTGTGTGTCTTCGGGGTCTTTGTGCTGGTGTACTTCTCGCTGTGGAAGGGTGTGCGGAGTGCCGGAAAGGTGGTTTGGGTGACGGCCTTGGCCCCGTATGTGGTGCTGATCATCCTCCTGGTGCGCGGAGTCTCACTGCCTGGCGCCGATGAGGGCATCAAGTACTACCTGACGCCCGAGTGGCACAAGCTGAAGAACTCCAAGGTCTGGATAGATGCCGCCTCGCAGATCTTCTTCTCTCTGGGCCCCGGCTTCGGCACACTCCTCGCCCTCTCCAGCTACAACAAATTCAACAACAACTGCTATCGAGATGCCCTCATAACGAGCACCATTAACTGCCTGACCAGCTTCCTGGCCGGATTCGTCATCTTCTCGGTCTTGGGGTGAGTTCAGTTCAGTTCAGTTCAGTTCGGCCCTGCTCAGTGGATTACTGATGAGGGGCTTCTATCTGATTGCAGATACATGGCCTATGTGCAAAAGACATCGATTGATAAGGTGGGGCTGGAGGGGCCTGGGCTGGTGTTCATCGTCTACCCCGAGGCCATAGCCACGATGAGCGGCTCTGTGTTCTGGAGCATCATATTCTTCCTGATGCTCATCACCCTGGGCTTGGACAGCACCTTTGGGGGCCTGGAGGCCATGATAACGGCGCTGTGCGACGAGTATCCCCGTGCGATTGGCAGGCGTCGAGAGCTGTTTGTCCTGCTGCTGCTCGTCTTCATCTTCCTGTGCGCCCTGCCCACAATGACTTATGTAAGTACTCCCATCCCATTCCATCCCCTCTCCGTCTAAGGCTTATCCAGTGATTCGTTTAATTAACGCTTAAGTGAGATTGTGGCTTATACATATGCATATTTAGGCGCACCCTCCCCACCCCCTCAGTGGCTGGTTCCCCAGCGCTCGAATGCTCGATGGATGGCCGAGTTAAGTGCTTTTTATCGTTCGCCCAGTTAATCTTCACACAACACACACTCGATGGGCTCTTTGCCTTTCTTATTTTTCTGCATTTTTATCACCTGTCAAGTTCGGTGGACTTGTCTGCCCTGGCCAGCCCTGGCCAAACAGCAACCAGCCACCACCTATTCCTATTCCTCCGCTGGCGCTGGCGCTGGGGCTGGCTGTTGCTGTTCAAACACTTAAGCTGGTCCGTTCCTTCTCCTGCCACTTTATCTGATTAAATTTGAAATTGTAATTTGCTGCGTTCTATATTCTATATTCTGACTCGGACACTTCTATCGGAGTAGCTTCTATCGGTCAATGGATCAAGCTATTCAACCCCATCCCCCCCATCCATTAATCAGTGCCACACACAATGGTCCCTCCCCTCCATGGATGGGGGAGAGCAGAACTCTCTTCTAGCCTTTAATTGATTGCAATGTGTGTGTGTATTTTCAGGGTGGCGTTGTCCTGGTCAATTTCCTGAATGTCTACGGGCCCGGCCTGGCCATCCTCTTTGTGGTGTTCGTGGAGGCTGCCGGAGTGTTCTGGTTCTACGGCGTGGACCGCTTTAGCTCCGATGTGGAGCAGATGCTGGGCTCCAAGCCGGGACTGTTCTGGCGCATCTGCTGGACCTACATCAGTCCGGTGTTCCTGCTGGTAAGATTGCCTCGATCCCACTATCCCCGACAGCCACTCAAGGGGGAATTACTTGCAGACAATATTCATATTCTCGATCCTGGGCTACAAGGAGATGCTGGGCGAGGAGTACTACTATCCGGACTGGAGCTACAAGGTGGGCTGGGCTGTGACCTGCTCCTCCGTGCTGTGCATACCCATGTACATCATCTACAAGTTCTGCTTTGCGACCAAGGGTGATTGCCGGCAGCGGCTGAAGGATTCCTTCCAGCCGGACGACAGCAGTGGCTCGGTGGTCCCCGGCCAGCAGGGCACCTCGGTGTGACATGACAACGTCGTGCACTTGAACATCCACACCAACAGGACCAAGATCAAGATATATAATTTGAATTGTAAAAGCTTTTCACCAACAACGACAGTACCAGTACCCCTCGAAGAGAGCAGCAGCAATAGGCTGCTGAATAGCTACCACTCCTACCACACAAATAATCTTAGCTACCACTATCCAGATCCAGACGCAGATCCCACAAAGCACACCCACACCCCGAATGGGGTGGATCAGAATTGGATCGACAATGATATTATTACGTATGGCGCTAGTGCTAGTGCTAGTGTTAGGCCCTCGCATTCGCATAGCCATAATAGTTTAGGTCTCCATAGCAGGACCCCCTTTGCTGCCACTGCTGGCGAGGACAATAACTACGGCCTGAGGCTCGGCAGCTGCAAGCCGCTGAAGTTTCCTCTGGCCAGCGAGTGGCTGGTTTGAAGGAGCATCCGCGACGATAGCATCCACGAAAGCTCTGCAAGCAGCCATTTTGCAGGGCTTTCCCGAGGTGCACGGTGTGCGTGTCCTCCACTTGGTACCAAATTACAGGACAGTTGTACTCTTTCACGTTTAGTTTGTAAGCGTTAAGCGTAGCTCAGCTCGTAAGTAAAGCGACATTTGGTAAAATGCTTTCATAGAAAAATAGTAGAGACATAAAATACATTCTCGAAACACCCTGTACAATGCCTGCACTTACACAAAACATTTCCCTCTGTTTTCGGTTAGAGGAACAATCGTAACACAGCCATTTACATTGTTTTTCTAACGCGTGTTCGTTGATACTAAAATTAAATAATAAATATTCCATACATATTATTTCGGTTATACGAAATAAGAAAACACAAAGCAAAGACCACAATTGTTTCATTTCGGAAAGGGGACGGTTAGGCTGAGGCCGCATTTGAATTAAACAACGAATTTTATTTTAAATTATTTAATTTGTAATTACATAGACTTGCCGTTCGTTAACTGATACGCATAGCTGGGCGAAATAAAAACAGGAGACGATCCTACATGAAAAATAAGTAAATGGGCGATGCGATGATCGAAAGTTGGTGATTGTTGTTCCAGTTGTGGCGGTTTAGAGGATGATGTTTTCAGAGGTGATAGTGTCGCCTGCAGCCCTTGTTTTTCCGCTTGCGACGTGGCTTGTGCTTTTTCTTCCGCTCCTATTTTTTGGAACTCTTGCTGCTGTCGTCCTTGCTCTTGTCCGACTTCTCTTCCGTCTTCTTGCCATCCTTATCTTTCGTGTCCTTGTTATCCTTGTCCTTGCTGTCCTTGTTCTTGTCCTTGGCATCCTTGCTGTCAGCCGACTCAATCGCCTTCTTGCCCTCCTCGGCATCCCGATTCGCCAGCTTGTTGTTGATCAAATTGTGCAATGCAATGATCGAGCGCACCATGGACGCCAGATAGACGACCAGCATCTGGTCATTGGTCTTCACGTACATTGTGCCCGTGAACTGGTCGTTGGTGATGTCCGGCAGCAGGTTGAAGATGTCCTGCAGCTGGTAGACGATCTGATGGTTGATCGGCATCTTGCCATCGCCCACACGCTGCAGATACTGCTTGATGTCGCGCAGCTGGGCATTGAGGCCCTTCAGGCCCATCAGCTGGTTCGTGATCTTCTGCGACAGGCTGCCCACGGTGGTGTCCTTGATGTCGCGCAGCAAGTGCTCCACGCCCACCTCCTCAGCCTCCTCCGCACCGATTTCACTGGGCACATGCTCGAAGGTCTTGCTGGTGGGCGAGCCATCGTCGTGGACCTCTTCCACGGATATGTAGGCCTCTGTGGGCAGGCCCAGATCCTTGGGCTTGGCATCGATGATGACCAGCACCGAGTTGGGGCAATAGCGACGGATCAGCTCATTGATGGCAATATCGTTCTGATGCAGCTTCGGACCCGTGTGATACCAGCCCACCACGCGCTCCCGAGCGTTCACCTTCTTGAACATGCCGTACATGTTCTCAAGGTAGTCGTGGTCCAAGAACCATACCGATTTGTCCTTATCGTCCTCATCAAAAGGTACTGCAAAGCGGAGCAAATTAGTTAATCTTTTTATGTCCAGTAAATATTTCCACTAACCTGCAAAACTGTTGGACACATCGAGCACACCCTTGGAGCGCCAGCAGCCGAGCAGGACACCAACAACACGCTTCTGGTTGCCAATCTTGCCCATGCGATTGAAGTGATCCACCACGGACAGAAGCACCAGAGGGTGCACTATCACTTTGTTTACGCTAACCTCCATCGACGGCATTTCTGTTTCTGTTGTAGTTTGTGGTAAACTGTAGTTTGCTTTACGCACAGCGTGCTTGGCTCTTCACTGAGCTCTGAAGTTTGCGCAGAATTGGGAACTCTGATCAAATTTTTCGCAACAAAAATGTATTGTTGCGTTTGCGGCAAAAACTGTGAGGCCTGAAATGACAAGCAGAATCGATTCTTCCTCTTCCAAAAAACGCCAGTCACCCCGAACGGAGTACGTCGACCACCCCACGAAAATTTATTTCAGTTCAGGTGAAAGATATCTCCGCAGTTTTTATTGTAAGGAAAGAGAAATGATATACAAGGACCTTTTACAAACAGTATTATTTTTGCCGGTGTAATATAATTAAACGGAAGAGGGTTAAGCGCACTTTTTCTCATCGGTATATTATGAAATGGAGACGGTATATTTCGGTATATTCCTGAGGGTCTGGCGGTATGTTTTATCAATAAATCCGCGGTCTCACTGCTGCCGACGGGAAGAAAATCATGAAAAGAAAATTGCTCAGCAAACAGAAAGAAAGCGGAAAATTAGCAAGAAGTGGTGCAAAAAGAAATGTGCAAGCCCATCAGTGAGACTGCAGCTGCAGTTGTGCGTCAAATATAAATGTAGTACGTAGTTCCTGGCGCTATTTATTTTCTGTGTGTGGTGCGTGTGTGGTAGTGTTGTTTCTGTTGTGCCCTTGGCGAAAGCAAATATTGCTGCGCTCCTCTGGCACAGATGACCTAAACGCCATTTTTGGCGCACGGTCACACTGCCGTTGCGCGAGAGAAATTACAATACAAATAAAACGCAGCGCAGGCAAATTGTGTGCAGTTAAAAACACGCTTTTATCTAAGCCCCAAAGTGTTCATTCGGACCATAAAATATCCACTGTGTACTGCTTTGTGTCATACCGATATCAGTGAATGAGTGTGCGGCCGCGCTCTTGTGTGCGGATGAGGTAATTGGTGGCTGCCTCTGCCTTCGTCTACAGTTTCACGCCCATCCAACGCAGTGTCAGGCGGCGGCTTCGTCGTAATCATCAATGAGCTGTCGTTTGCTCCGTTGCCGTTCCGTTCGCCGAGGTCCGCAACTGTAAATCGTGGCTTGAAGTGCGCGTGTTGGGCGCATATTTGGCACTGCACTTGCGTTAATTAAGGTGTTATCAGTGTTTTAGGCACATTCTCCAGACGGGGGGCTATACAATTTCACTGAAATTTTGCCAAATCGAAAGAGAAGAAAACCACCGAAAGCCCAGAGACCAGCTCACAAATACTTAGGCACCGAAAGAGAGCCCCCCACACACACACAAACACACACACACACGAACGCACGCTGTACGCTCTTTTGTCTACGTCTTTGACTTTTTCTCGTTTGTAATCATTTTCCTCCCATTCGTACGTGTTTTTTCTACAAATATTAGAGCTCGCGAGCTGCTAATTAAATTATAAAACATACAGAAGCGTTAAAAGAAGACGACGACCGTCCAACCAAGCCCACAATCCCCACTATTTGGCCTATTTCGCTGAGGCGGCGCAAAGAAGATACGACAAAAGAGGCAGAAAAGCAGAAACAGGCAGAAAAAGACTAATAGAAGGTGAGCCACAGTTTAAACTAGGCGCTTAAGCGGTCACTTGGGGATGGAGCTTGGAGCTTCGATCCGATCCGTAGTGTTTGGTTTGGCCTGATTTAACTGAAATAACTCCGTTACGGCGGATCTGTAGCACCTGCTGCTTCCCCGCGCTGCCACTTGGCATCCGTGCCAACTCTGGTAGCTGGTGTCTGGTCTCTGGTCTCTGCGCCAAGTGCAAAATCAATCAATGAACGTCGCAGTCGCAGTCAGTCGCACTGCACATACAAATATACAAACCATCCATGTACAGTGTACACTCGTATGTCTCTTCAGCTTTCTCCAAATCTAGTTTTCCTTGTTGGACTCTCGCCCAGAGCCGTCGCCAGCTCCTGCACTATGTAGAGGCCAAAATATCATCATCGAACTGAGAAACAGACCAACTAAAGTAGCAACTAATTGCCTGCCTGCGAAGGCGAAGGAGAACGAGAATAAGCAGAATCGAAAGCAGAAGCAGTAGAGCAAAGATGTCGTTCATAACTAACCTTAAAAAGGTCTTTCACCTCGGCGGGGGTGAGGCCAAGAAGAAGCGCCTGTACAATAACATCAAAATGGACTCGGATCCGGCGGAATTCTGGGAGATGGTTGGCGAACTGGGCGACGGAGCCTTTGGGAAGGTATACAAGGCCCAGCACAAGGAGCATAGGCGCTTCGCAGCGGCCAAGATGTGCACGCTGGAAGATGAGGAGAACCTGAGCGACCACATGGTCGAGATTGACATCCTCTCCGAGATCAAGCATCCCAACATCGTCGAACTCTACGAGGCCTTCTCCCTAGAGGACAAGTTGTGGGTAAGATGTGCTCGCCAGCACCCCTCAATTAAGAAATTATTAACCGAGACGAGACTTTCTTTAGATGCTCATTGAGTACTGCGATGGTGGGGCCTTGGACAGCATCATGGTGGAGCTGGAGAAGCCATTGACTGAGCCGCAAATCGCCTACGTTTGCAAGCACATGACGGAGGGTCTGACGTTTCTCCACAAGAACAAGGTCATTCATCGTGACTTGAAGGCCGGAAACGTTCTCCTCACCATGGAGGGGGGCGTCAAATTGGGTAAGTTATAGCATTTACCGATCTGGCAGCTACCGATATCTATAATTCCAACCTCTCCTCCAGCGGACTTTGGTGTCTCGGCCAAGAATAAACACACAATGCAGAAGCATGACACATTCATCGGCACACCCTATTGGATGGCCCCCGAGCTGGTGCTGTGCGAAACGTTTCGTGACAATCCGTACGATCACAAGGTTGACATCTGGTCGCTGGGCATAACACTTATCGAGCTGGCCCAAATGGAGCCGCCCAACAGTGAAATGTCCCCGATGCGAGTGCTGCTCAAAATCCAAAAGAGCGAGCCACCCAAACTTGAGCAGCCCAGCCGGTGGAGCAAGGAATTCAACGATTTCCTAAAGAAGTCTTTAGTCAAGGTAAATCATCTATCTACCATAGATCTATCATCGCCACTCCCCTCAATGATTTGTTTCTTTCGGTCAACAGGACCCCCAACTGAGACCCACTTCGGATGTGCTGGTGCAGCACAGTTTCATCAACAGGGATCTGGACTGCAAGCCCATCAAGGATCTGCTGCTCGAGTACAAGGCCGAGGTCGTGGAGGAGGTGGTCGATGACGAGACCGAGGTGAGTTTTTCTTAGAAGCCCCGGGGCCACTGGCACTGCGCTGCGCTGCTGCACCCTCGTAGTCCAATGCTAGATATGACACAATATTCTATATAATCTCACCTCTCCAACCGCTCTCTCTGTTTCTCTATTCTCTTTTACACGCTGCTGCCTCAACCCAAAACCAAATCAAAATCAAAAAAAAAAAAAAACAACATTCCAAAACATTCTCGCACCGTGCGATAAATTCTTTTAATATATTTTCGTTTATCTCTCTTGGTTGTTATTCTTTCGTTTCGTTTCTTTTCCCCCTTCGTTCCCCTTCCGTTGTGCCCTTTCTGCCAAAAATGTCGCAATGTTCGCTCTTATCATTTCTTATGATTATTTCACACAAACCAAACGATTAATATAGAAGCTTAAACGCCAAGTGAAGCGGCGCTCGCTCTATCAGAGGGTTGGTAAGTCGTTCTACAGCAACCACTCCACCCCGTTCCATGCTCCATCCGGCCCTGCATCCTATCCCCCCTGCCTCCACTGTTCTCCGATAACGGGCCTACAATTAGTTTACTTATTTTATCAGCATTGCCAAATGGCCATCACTCCCTCCGCTGCCGCCTTGCCCTGCCCCTTATAGCCATGGTCTAGTCTGGATTGTTCCATCTTGCACGCTTTTGTTATCATTTTCATATCATATCAGTTTCTTGCGTTAATGATAGCAGGTGCAGGTGACAATTGTACAATGCCTTACCAATAATGCTATCTTGTCTTGCTATCTTGTCAAAGGAAGATTCGGCCTGCTGAAATCTGCTTTTGATAATCTTTTGTATCTAATTTTTGGAGTAGTAGGAATCACTTTCCTCTCGATTATTCAATGCTAATGAGGATTTCCCTCTTGATTTCCATTAGGAACCCCGCAACTCGGCGCTCCAGCTCGACCTGGACGATGACTCCGCCTCGCTGCGGAGCCAAGACATTGACAAACGTAAGTTGAAGGCATACACGTGGCCATCATTGGGCTTAATTGTCACTAAAACAGTTCCAGGTACACCTACATCCATACTGCGGGATTCCAAAGAGCAGTCCCAACCAGCAGCGGTAGCAGCAGCAACAGCAGCAGCAGCAGCAGCAGCAGCGGCAAATAAAGCCACAATCCCTGAGAAACAATCTAACCACAAGGAGGACAATGCGCTGGTGCTGGCTGAACCGGCAGCTCTACCGCCGCATACCAAAGTGCCTGCCCCAGCGCCACCCAACAGCTTTGCCCAACAAAACCAGCAACAACAACAGCCACAGCCGCAAACCCAAGCAGTTGTTGCTCCTGCTGCAGTGCTGCAAAAGATACCCGAAGATTTTGCTGCTGTCGAAGCGGATAAAAAGGTAGGGATCCCTCCTTAATGCAGTACAATGCCCTGTACGCTGTACTCACACACGAAATTCGTTGTATTCCACAGCACTTTATCAAAAAGGAGAAGGGCAAAGCGCCGCCACCACCATCGACAACGTCATCGCCATCGGGAGCCACCGCAGCCATTGCCGCTGCCAATGCAAAGCCTCAGACCACGCCCGAACCCCCCTCCCACTCCCCCACATCAGCCATTGAGGTGGCCATTGGTGGCCCAGAGGCAATGGAGCAGCAGAAACCGCAGCCACCATCGCCCACAGCCTCATCCATCATATCCGTGCAGTCGGTGGCCTCCTCCAACGCGTCGTCTTCGTCGGGGGGCAGTGTGTCGAATGCTGTCCTCAGCTCCAGCACCTCCCTGATCACCATCAACAGCGATGCGCCGCCACAGCAGCAGCAGCTGCATCTGCAGCCACAGCCACATCAACCACAGCACCTGGTGCTGCCAAACAGCTTGGAGTCGGTTAGTCAGATTACAGTCGTGACCAGCACCCATCCGCCTGTCATCATTGACAACTCTGTGCCGCCCCAGAACGAGGTGGTGATTGTGTCGAACGACTTGAACAAGAGCACGCATCTGAATGAGTCCTCCACGGACGATGACTTCCCCTCACTGGACGACAGTTTGGGCGATGCCACGACACCGCCACACAAGCAATCATCGATGATATTGTCCGTCAATGAGCCATCCGGAGCTCCACAGGCCCCACCACAGCCTGCAGGAGCAGTGCATGCCCGCAAACTGGACGAGAGCGAGGTCCTGATTGTGAGCCCCTCCTTTGGAGACGATGATTCGGCCTACAACACGGCCTCGGGCAGTCACAGTCACGACCACAGTGACCAGCTGATGGACACCAGCCATGTGTCCGTTGTCACTGTGGGTGACGAGGTCATCAAGGTGAAGGACAGCAGCAACGAGGTACTCAAGCGACCTCAGCCCAACGGCATTGTACCCGAAGACGTGAACATAATCGTGAATCGGTTCAAGCCCTCCAGCGATCATGAGAAGCGCACCTCGCCGGACAGCTCGTTGAGCGAGAACGGTTCGGTGCGAGGGCGTCGCGGCATTGAGGTACAGATCAGCGGCTCGGATGTGGACAGCATCGGCACCAACACTAGTCAGGACAGCCGACACGAGACAGATCACAAGCCACAGGCGCAGCAGCAGACACCAGCCAGTGTGCTAATGCCGCCGCCTCCTCCGTCGTACAACAACCACACGCAGACCATTGACGAGGAGGAGGAGGTCGTGATACGGCCCAAGACGCGCGTACCGCCGGTAGCCAAGTCCGGGGGCTCAAGTGGTCTCACCAAAGAGGAAATCGAGCTGCGCAATCTGCGCAAGAAAACGCGCAAGAGGACGCGTAAGTTCGAGATCGATGGCGTGCAGATGACGACCACCACGAGTCGGGTGATCTATGGGGATGAGGAGAACGGACGCATCTACGACGATCACGATTTCCGGAAGCAAGAGCTGCGCGAGCTCAAAATGCTGCAGAAGCAGGAGAAGAAGCAGCAGAACGAGTTGCATGTGAAGGAGCAGATGGCCAAGGAGCAGCAGGATCGCCGCTTCGAGCAGGAACGCTCCTCGCTGGAGAAGACCTACGAGGCGGATATGGATATGCTGGCTCGCCAGCACAAGCAGCTCGTAGAGAAGACCGAGCAAACGCAAGAGAACGAGCTCAGGTCCTCCTCGAAACGCATCCGATCCGAGCAGGAGCAGGAACTGAAGATTTTCCGCGAGAACCTCAAGCAGGAGATCCGTTTGCTTAAGCAGGAGGTCGATCTGTTTCCCAAAGACAAGCGCAAGGACGAGTTCAAGCAGCGACGCTCGGCCATGGAGCTCGACCACGAGGAAAAGGAGCGCGCCTTCCTCGACTCCCTTAAGGAACGACACGAGCTGCTGCTGCGGCGGCTCAGCGAGAAGCATCGCGACCATCTGGCCACCATCAACCGCAACTTCCTGCAGCAGAAACAGAATGCGATGCGGACGCGGGAGGCCCTGCTCTGGGAGCTGGAGGAGAAGCAGCTTCACGAACGCCATCAGCTTTCGAAGAGGCACGTGAAGGAAATCTGCTTCATGCAGCGCCATCAGATGATCGTCCGCCACGAGAAGGAGCTCGATCAGGTGAAGCGCATGCTGCAGCGCAAGGAGGAGGACATGGTCAAGAAGCAGACGCTCGAGAAGCGTGCCCTGCCCAAGCGTATCCGCGCCGAGCGCAAGGCCCGCGACCTCATGTTCCGCGAATCGTTGCGCATTTCGACGAACCTGGATCCAGAGATCGAGCGCGATCGCGTGAAGAAGGTAAGCAGAAAGCCTATAGCCTCTAAACATAACTAATCCGCAATTCTATTTTCAGTTCCAAGAGCAGGAGAAGAAGCGCTATATGCAGGAGGAGCGTCGCTTCGACATCAAGCATCAGAAGCAGCTGGAAGAACTGCGCGCTACCCGCGAAAGCGCCATAAGGTCAGTCCTAGGACAATCTCCGAAAGGAAAATAAATTTCTTATCCCATTTCTCTACACAGGGAACTGGAGCAACTGCAGAATGAGAAGCGCAAGGCGCTGGTGGAGCACGAGCATGTCAAGCTCCAGGAGATCGATGAGCGCCTCAAGGCTGAGCTGCGCGAGTGGCGCGAACAGTTGGTGCCCCGCAAACAGGTGTGTATGCCCTCCATCCTTCCATCCAACCCGGCCATCCCGACCCATTCCATCCCCCATTCGAAGAGTCGCTCCAAGAGCCAAACACTGGCTCTGTGCCAGTGCCGTTCAATGCCTTATTTGTTGGTGTTTTGTGTGTTTATTTATTGCTGTAAAAAGTAGATCAAAACTCAATTGATTTAAGTTGGTATTGATACTCGTAATTATTGTATATTGATTGGTTTACGGTGAAATTTGGTGTCTTGTGTATTCCCTCTCCGGACCCCTTAAAATATCCCTTCAAAAGCGTAACCCAATCCGCAAAGCGTTCCGTCAAATGCCTGCGGTTTAGACTTGAGCAATATTTCTTTCTTGTTGATGCTTTAGCAGGAAGCTCCATCGATGTATTTTCTTTACCATTCGTCGTTAATTAAATAGATTCCGACGCTGACTCTGACTCATTCATTGACAATTTGTGACTAAGTTTGAACTGAATTGAATCATCATCAGGTGATTAATGATCTAATTTGTGGCACTGCAAGTGGTGATTGCTCATCTCTAATCCGCGGCCAGGTGGCGGAACCGTGGCCTGAACAAAATCCAATTATTTTTTCAACTTTTTCTCTCTCTCTCTTTACACCCTACGCAAATGCATACTCTTTGGTGGCCTACTGTACCTACTACTACCTAAAACAAAAATATGATAACTGATATAAAAAAACAAAAACCAAAACCAAAAATTCAAATGCTTACCGCTGTGCTTCCCAACTACTAACCAAACAAACAAAAAACCAACCAATCAATCGACCTTTGGGATTGGCATTGGCATTGGCATTGGTCTTGCATGTGTTCTTAACAACCAACCAAACGACCGAATGAATCCAGAGAGTGAATGCGCTGATCAAGACGGCCATCGATGAGCACGAGAAGCGCTTTGGCCTAGTGTCCAATCGGGCGGAGTTCGAGGACCAGGAGGTGGAGCTGCCAGTGCGGTTGCGGGGGATATTCAACGACCGCTCCACCAGACTGGTGCCCCGCAACACCTTCATCGATGTGCAGCAGATGCCGCGCTCGCGCTCCTCGCTCCTGATGATGGGCGGCAGTGCCGGACGATTGTACAACTTCCGCGGCTCTGCCCCAGATCTGAGCCGCAGTGTGCCCAGCACCCCCATCATGCACAAGCAGCAGCGGGCACAGATGATGGGCGACTTGGTGCTGGAGGAGGACGAGGACCTGCTCGTCGAGCAAATGAAGCGGGCCAGCGTCACTACCCTGCCCGCCCAGAGCCAGCTGCGGCTCATCACAACCCAAGCGGCGACCCAGATGCCGACCAACGAGTTGGTCAAAGTGGTGACCAGCACTCCGCCTCTGAACAGTGCCGAGGAGCCCAATGGCAAGCCCGCCATGAGCACCTTCAGGCAGAGTACGCCCACACCACCACCGCTACCCAAGACGCCTGACGATCTGGGACTGGTTAGCAACCGATTCAGCCGGATCGACGTCAAGGCCGCCGAGCAGGCCAGCGTCGAGCTACGCATCCAGGAGGGACCGGTGCTGACGGCCCACACCAAACGCCTGCTGCATTCCACCTCGTTTGCCATCAAGCGACCCTCCCTGGCCAGCCGCAGCAGCGGCCGATCCTCCCTGAGCAGCGCCCAGTCCATGTACAACATGAACGAGCTGGCCAACAGCAGATACACCAGCGATGCGGAGCTGATATTCTCTGACGCCGGCCTCAAAGCAGCCGCCCTCCTGGATGAAGTGCAGCCGGATCTGCGTTCGTCCGTGAAGCCGGGACACAGCCGCCTGAATGGCAGCTCCGTCTCAGCGGACTCTGCGGCCTCAACGGACGACTTCTACTACGAGCTGTATGCGCAGAAGTACAAGCTGCCGCGGGTCAATCAGCGTCAGCTCAGTCTCGAAGAGGATGCATCGGCCGTCTAGAGAAGAACGTCTAGAGAAGGATCAGCAACTCCAGTCCCTTGCATGCCCTCCAGCTACTAACGATACCCAATACAATCCCTACACTTACTTATACTCAAATCAAAACCGCTTTCCATTCCCCCGCTTGGTGCTGGTGCTGATGCTAACAAAATAAACAACACACTCCCTCCCTCCCCACCACATATCACATCTCTCACTAACATAACAGACTTGACTTTTCCCTAAACACCGCCTAAGCATCGTCTGCATCCGGATTTGCCATAATTTCTGTGTCTTGCCAAAAGTTGATTAGTTTTGTCAGTTAAGCGAAAAATGAATGATTTGTGTGCTTTTTCAACATACGATACATATTATATCGCGCCAGAAGCGCACTCCATTCTAGCAGTATTATCCGAGTACTTAGTAAAAGAAACCAAAAACAGAAAAACCACATAAGAATAAAGATGAATCGAAACGAAACGAAGGGAAACGAAGAGAAACAATCCGCATTCCATGCATAGCAACATGCCAAGCATTTATATAGCCTATATCTTACTCTAGAGCCTAGACATTCATATGAATATAATCATTATAAAAATATACGTATCTATTACCATATCGCCATTTTCATGATGCTTCACTGTACACACACACACACACCCATACGCATACCCACATACATACATATACCCAACAACAATGCGCTGCTATCGTAAAACAAAACAAAAACACACACAAAAACAAAACAAAAAACCAAAAATCTGTATCCAAAAACTTTTCTTGCCGGCTCTCTCCTCTTCTCGTTAATGCGTAAAGCAACTACAGCAGCGGCTGCAACAAGAGGTTAGTCCTTTGATCTATCCCGCAGTGCGGTTAACAGCTATGGCAAGCGCATAGCTTTGAGCCGCACTGCATATTTCTATGTATTGTATATTCCTTTCAGTCTAAATGTCCTACTAATGCATGCGCTGTATAGCTAAACTTTCCTCCTCCTCCTCCTCCTTTATTTATTTGATATTATCCTAGTGAATGTCTCGTTGCTTAGAACCATATATGGCCAGATTTCGATGAGTTACTTATACCCTTTTGATTTCTTTGCACGGACAGCGTCTGGAGGAGACCTTCGCCCAGCAGCTCGACGAAATGGAGACCCTGTACGGGGGCGCACTGATTGTCTCCATGCCGTCGGACACACTGCAGCGTGATCACTTCACTGGGTCCACCCGCAGCAGCCTCAGCTCCTACTCGGAGGGATGAGGGCTGCTTAATTATAGATGCTGGATGCTGGATGCCTGCCACGTCTGTCGAGCAGGCACAAACAAAGGAAGTGGCTGCAACACCGACAGCGACAGTGGCAGTGGCAGTGGCAGCGGCAGCTATGCAAAGTAAAACAAAACAATTGTCAGCCATCCATTAAGGCTTCCGCCAGGGAAAGAGCGCTTCTATCCATGCTTAAGCATATATATATATATATGTACATAAAGTACATATATAGGTATATATATATAAGAGATGGACATGCATGTGTGTGTGTGTGTCCTGGCAAGAAGCGCGTCGGGTCATGCTTAAGTTTTGTGTCGTAAAATGTAATACATAAGCTTAATTTTATTATTATTTTTGCATTGTATGTTAGCCTATTACTCTATTAATTATTACCGCCGTATCCAGCGTTCATCTGTTCTATCCGTACATGCAAAACATGTATAAGCCCAGAGACCTAGGCATCCAATATCCAATATGTAATATGTCGAGAGCAGAATTAAATTTACTTAATATTTATACAGACATACATACACGCATAACACAAGCCACCAACCCCAAATCACTGGACAAACGAAATACGAAACATACGTACACCACCCAGCAAATATTCCTTTTGTTGACCTTATCGCTATTGTAAATATATCTATAAATATATACATATATCCCATAACTATGCAACACATACACACAGATAAACACACTCTGACAGATAGAAGACAGTCGTAAACAGATGTATGGGAAGGGAAAGCTTTGCAAAAGTTAATGTGGCAAAAAGGAGAATTATACGAACGAGTATGTGAGATGTTGGGATTCCAGAACACAAATTGTGTGAGAGAGTTTGAGAGTTGGAAGTAAATGATGGGAGGCCGTCGGGTAATGATAAAAGATATTTATATTTGTAAACGTTTATGCTTATATATTTTATATAAATATATACATATTTAAATTTAAAAAAATCAAAAAACAATAGCCCCAAAACAGAAAAAATAATAAAAAAGAATAGAAAAATTAAGCAACCCATCTTTTGTCCTATTTTAAAATCAATTTCTTTTCTCACAAATATTTCCATCTATTATTCTGCAATGAATTTCTCACAAATATTTCCATCTATTATTCTGCAATGAATTTGATTATGAACTACCAAGAAGTTTCCCTTCTGAGAATATCTAGGAACTTGTTTCTGTTCTAATTTATAAGGCGATAAATTGCAAGAATGAAATATGTCTCAAATGCCATCACAAATACTGCACTTTTCAAAGAATTCGGAGAACTGTGTCCTTTCAGCACCCTTACAAAGTTGAACGGTGCGTATGAGTTGGAATGGTGGAATGAGGGGTGGAATGAAGAATTATGAAGAATTTGAGGCCATTCCTCCTCCTTGGGTTGGCCGGCGCGTGCCGATTACAGAATTTCAGCATATGGATGCAGTGGCTATGTTGCGGGTATGTTGTATTCTATTGCAGCAGATCCAGTTCCAGTCCATCGAAATAATCCTTAAAATGCCCGCCCACTCATGAACTCCACTCCCACTCACTCATAATCCCCCTCATGGAACATTTAGCGAGCCAAAGCTCTTGCGCTTCTTTCTGCATTGTCCATTTATGTAGTTTTATGTCATATACTATACTCGTTCTCGTATGACTGGCATATAGAAAGTCCCGTACTATCTGCAAACCTTCACACATGGCATACCCAAAGGGATACAATAGGGGGATGGTGGATGGGCGGATGGCACTCCAGGGGGTTGTGCTGGTATTGTGGCAGGCAGGCTTCCGCATGCGTGTTGTGGGGTGGGGGTCGGGTGGGGGTCACTGCCATTGTCAGTGCCATTGCCATGTCAGGCGCGTTAGATCCATTGTTGTCCAGTTTAAACGCAACATGAGTTGCTATTAATACCGCCAAGGCACTTGAGGGACCCCCAAGTAATTGCCCAAGGGCTCAACTGAACTCAACGTATCATCGCTAGCTACATCCTCTAATTATAAACTGGACCGAGAGTTTCTTGTACATAGTTTTTCACCTAATTAGTATAGACTATATTTATTTACCCACTATCGAATGCAGATTTGATTTGTTTTGGGATAAATATTAGTGGTTTTCCTAATAATAAAATAGGTTCGTGTTAGAGGTCTACAATGGCAAACAAACCGGCAGTCGAATTATCAAGAGAGTTAGGGGTTACGTCGATGAATGAGTCCGCTCACATAAGACTCGTATGGACTACAGTTCAACGAAGCAGTGAGACTTGAAGTAGTTAGTAGTTGTACTTGACCAGGAAAACCTTTCCACCCTACTGTCTGATATACCCTTATTCTCCACGACTACCGGGTATATGCATTTGCCGGAACCCCACTACTTTGTATACTCATTGTTAAGTTTATTAAAAGTTGTTTCCTCTGTAAGTAAGTCCTGACTGACCCAAAGTCATGACTATACGCCCCACTCGGTTGGAGATGGTTTCGTGGCAGAACAGCTGAAATATAGCGTGGCATTATTTAATTGAAATGTGAGAATGCGCTTTTCCAGCGTACCTACTTCACGGAAATTCCCGCGCACTCACACACACACTCATCCCCACTCGGACTAACGTGCCACACTTGTTCGCATGCCCCATTCGCCCCAGAGTCCCATTGAAAAGGCAGTGGACTACTGCTTCACCAGCTGCGCTGCTGTTTCTGCTCCTCCAGCTGCTGCTGTTGCTGCTCCTTCTGCTGATGAAGAGCACAAAACAGGCATATCGTAGGCAACGAGAACTGCTACAAAGATGGCGAGCGTGCTTGAGGAATGCCCGTGGGGCTCGTGTGCTCTCTCCTAGCCAACCCCAAAGGCCCCCAACCCCCTCTGCTTTGGATGGACTGTTGCGGCGGTTTCATTCATATTCATCCATTTCTCGATGCTCCTTCCCACTCCCACTCCCACTCCTACTCAGCCACCAGGGTTTTCGGCTATGGCTGCAACTTGGCAGCACTAACCCAATCACACACACAGACACACGCAGTGAAGGCGGGGGAGGGAGTCTCGCATTTTTCCGCTTTTACCACCCACGCATTAGCCAAGGCGCGTCCTTTGTGCGAGGGTGTCGTAGAGGATGCTCGCATGTGCTGGGCTGTGCCCCAACAAACACAAATTCCAGCACAAAGAAAGCCGAGCCGAACGGCAATCGGCTCCGGATCTGGCACTCGGGCCTGTTCCGTGCTCTCTCTGTAGCGCTGCTCTGCTCTGCTCTCATCTCGCGCGATATACCGTTAAGGTATATGCTTGAAATTTTCAGCTTCAGTCCCGGACGAGATTTGGAAACGTGCGCTTCAAAAGTTCTCTCCCAAAACTGGGAGTCGTCCCCGCAGCGGATGCGTGCAAAGAACGTTAAAAAAAAGTGTTTGTTACATAGCTTTAGTGAAAATGCGAGAAATAATTAAATAAAATTAGGAAAATATTGAAAATAATATATAAGAAGAGCAAACAGATTTTGCAGTGACAGTGGCAGTGGCGGTGGCAGTGGGCTTGACGTGTCATTTGTTGTATCGAGTGCGAGAGGAAAAAATAATAAACTTGATTACAATGTTAAATGTGGAAACTTTGGGCACGCAAAGCGTCAAAGCGTAGACGCTGACGGCGACGCTGGCGCCGACGTCGCAGCTAGCATTGTGTATAATAAAATTGGCGAAAAAGCCCCCCGCAACCTCACCCACAACCCTCTTGTAACAGAGTGTGGCCGGCCCGGCAGCGGCAGCAGAAGCAGCAGCAGCAGCTTCAGAAGCAGCGGCAGAAGCAGCCGAAACAACCAAAGATGTGCGCGCACAATACAAAAAATTACAAAGCATACTTTTGGGAGCGGCAAATGGCCAAAATCAACAGCGATGCTGAGCGTGCGAAATAAGCAATAAGAAAGAAAGAGAGAGAGAGAGAGAGAGAGAGAGAGAGAGAGGGACAGAGAGACCAGGGACACCAACAACAGGACGACGCTTTCATCCGCAGAAAGAGAGGAGAGCGACAGCGGCAGCAGCAGCAGCGCATGTAAGTCAGAGCGGTGCTGTGTGTTTGTGTAGGTGACGCTGGCGCTAACGCTGTCACTGGCAGCGCTGCCAGCGCTGTTTCCAGTGCTCTCGTTTTGATTAAACTTTGTGCGAGTAGGTCGGTGGGGCGCGGTTCAACCACCCACACTGCTGTACCCTCCTCTGCTCACTCGGCTGGGGCAATATGCTTAGCGGGTAGCCCAAGCATAAGGTGAAAGCCAGTCCAGCAATTTAATTTCCGCAAACAAGAGAGCACAGCGTCATGGTACGGCATGGCACGGCACGGCCCGGTCCATGCAGACGGGCCAAAAGCAGGCTGCTAGCCAGCATCTCAGCCATGTGGCAAGCAATTAAACTCGCGCAAAAATTAACATAAACCAGAGGAAGGGGCCCGGGTCACAGTCACAGCATACAAGACGCACAAAAGTATGCAGCTAGTTTTCGCAGCGTTTTCCTTAAGCTTTTCCTTTTCCGCAACGAAGCACGCTTTGTCTTGTGCGGGTGTGGTGCGTATGTATACACTGTATGTGTGTGTGTGTGTGTGTGTGTTTGGGTGAAAGTAGGCCCGCATAAAATGTAGCGAACCCGAATATCCGCCCGCCCACATCGAGCAAATAAAAGGCGTCTGCTGATGAGCTGCTGCTGCTGCAGTAACACTCACTCGTACGCACATTAGATGAGGTGACAGTGGCAAGTCGCTTAACGGCACCGGGAACGCAACACACACGAATATGCCAATCAAAATTTGGATATTGTATGCAAAACTATATCAAGCAGTTCCCTGGAAACTGTTTATATGCAAGACACTCGAATTACTACTCGTAGGAAAGCAAATATCAACAAATGTGAATGATGGCAGTTTATTGTTTAAGCTCTCTGACCGTATATGCCTGAAAAACCTCTGAGCTAATTCAACCTTTTGTTAGATGAGGAATTTACAATTTCAATTTGGTAATTGAAGGATTGTCGGTTCTGAGTTCATGAGAATTGTCCGTTCTGAGAATTAAGTGCTGTTTGCGAGCACAGGCTAAGGTAAAATGTGAATTATTCAAACAAAAGATTCGATTTGATTTGAGAGTGTGATAGAAAATGGAAGACCAATAATTGGTTGATAGATGCAGCATCATGGATGAAGCCTGCAACGACTACGTGTCCTTAGTGTATTTGTGAATTGATACTATTTTTGATTCGATTAGCGGTTGCTTACTGTATTCACTTCATCCTGCCGCGTGATGCGAGCCGCGTGCCACAAGCTTATGGGCTCTGTCATAAAAATAGCTTAATAAATGGCAAAACAAATCCTCGCGGGCCGCAGGTTGCTCAGATCTCCCTCTCTCTCGCTGCACGACTACATGTGTGTGTGTGTGTCAGAGAAAAGGGACTCCTACTCCTGCTCCTCCTCCTTCTCCTCCTTCTCCTCCTTCTCCACCCTGTATGGGTGTGTTTGTTTATGCCATTAGCCCAACGCATTTGATAATAAATCCATAAATCCTTTTTTTATGGCAAGCAAAAAGCGAGGCACGGCAACCAGACGCTGAATTCGATTATTTGGCAGCCAAAGGGAGCGGTCGTCTGACAAATTTGAATGTGCCCGAAAGGAAGACGGCCCAGACCGTACAGTACAGCTACTGCCAACTGTCTGTGGCCTGGGCCAACATAAGCTGACGTGGCCGGGACCAAATCACGTACTCAGGACTGGACTTAACCGCAGGAGCAAACGGTGAAACTACTTTGTGTGAGACCATCCCAGGATTCACATCCCTCATGCTAGTACGAGTACGAATCGTGAGATTTTGTTTTTCATTTCTTGGAAATGTTTTGCCGACTCGACTGCCGGCTGGTTTTATTTTATTCTCCTTTCCTTCGACGGCAGCACGTTGTTATTTCTGGTTTTGTCAATGCGATATGGCGGCTCAATTTGTGGCGCCCCATTGGTTTTGCCCACTTTGCCGTTAGCTTGTTTTCCCCAATTGATTTATACGCATGTCTGTGTTAGTGTGAGTGTGGGTGGGAGCGTGAGTCCTCCCACTGGGTGGAGTGTGGTTTCTACGAAATAAATAACCAGATTTTGATTGATTTATTGGCCAGCGCTGCATTTAATTGAACATCCATTCGAGATTGTGCCAATTAATCCTGCAGAATAACCTACCCACCAGACCGGTCAAAAGTCAATCACACTTTACATGAATTAATCTCTACTAAAAGTTCAATTGAGTAAAATTATACACATTCAACTTTGAACTAGCCCGAGTAGGGATCAATTACATACTACATACATATATGTACATATGTGGGTGCCAATCGAATGCCTAATTGAATCGTTTCGTGTGGTTCTTGCGGTTGAATGAGCCTTGAAATGTGCACCATTTTTAATATGCACTCATCCTTTGCCCGGACTTGAACTTCGTTTAAGTGGCTACGTAGAACAATCGAAGATAATCCCTGCATTCAAAAAAATAAATCTTCATTTTAATTGGGAATGACCCACTCTTTGTGTGGACTGAATCGTGTGGAAGCGGCTCCACCTCCTTATCCGCCCACAGGCTGCACACAATACAGGAAATAAGCTGGCATCTAGTACTGAATGCCAGTCAATCATGGGACACGCCTATTCATATCGTATCAGTGTCTATCAATCAGGTGGCCAGCACGTCGTATGCGTAACTTATGTTCATTAAAAAACTTTCGAAATCGAACTCGCACAATGCCTGCCAAATGAACAGTGTCCCTCCACGGGGTGATATGTGTGGAGGACTATAAGCGTGTACATATATAGACCCAATGACAACATCAATAGTTTTGAAAAGTGTCAGAGGAAGCCGCCTCGAACATTTCCGTGCCAAAGTCAGGAGTCTGCCACCGACAGGCAGTCAACTTCTTTCCTCGACTGTTGCATGTGGCCCCATTGTGCTTCGTGGTTACAATAATATCCGGCAGGCAGCAAACAACAAATGTCGTGGGCGTAGCCAGGGGGCGGGGCGGGGCCGGTTCTGGCAAGGAGGCAAGCTTTCATTTACATTTGCATAGACATTTTCATTAAAACAAATCACACAGAAAATGTCATTTTGCAGCAAGGACAAAGCGAGTCAGGCCCCTGGCATTGTAAATATATTATTGCGCTTCCTTGGTCCTTCAGCCCTTCAGCCCTTCAGCCCCTCCTCTGCCTTTGCATTTGCCTTTGCCCCTGCGGAGCATGGGATGGGATATATCAAAGGCCTGCGCTTTGGACAGCTCCTCATAATTCTCGCCTTTTACTATCTCGTTGTTTTATGTCCGATGGCTGCCAAAGGGGCTGGGATGGGATGGGATACGATGGGCATACGGAAATTGCGACACCCTATACTATAACAATCGGGCTCTCGGGGAGTACGACACGTAGATTACTGCTGCATGAAATTGGTTTATGTGGATATTGATGCATTGGTGCACTTTCGCACTCATTAGGGCTTGCATCAACCGCTAACGATATGCAGCAAAAACCAATTAAAAGCCTAATGAAATTTCGGGAATTTGTTCCGCCCGAATAATTTCGAACATAAATATTCAAATCAGAATCAATTGAAGAATCCTTTAAACTTTCAGGAGCTCTCGTTGATAGGTCTTTGGTTAGGGTAATCCTTTGGTCGCATCGCTGTTCAGCCTTGTAGAATACACAGTTATTTTTATTGCTTGCAGGGCCAGTGGAAAAATGGCCAACGCCTTGCGTGGGTGCAGCCAAAAGGATAAGCAGAGGATGAAAGCCAACTGAAACAGGGGACAAGGACACACAGCGAACGAGACAGCGAGAGAGAGAGAAGCGAAAAGGAAGTGTAATCTTGAAAAGCTTTTGCTGAAAATATCACGTATTCGCCATGGAGCCGGTTATGAGCCTGGCCCTTGCCGCCCATGGGCCGCCCAGCATACTTGAGCCTCTGTTTAAAACCGTAACTACGAGCACAACGACCACATCGACGACGACGACCACAACCACAACGACGACTAGCAGTCCGGCGCACCTGTCGTCGACAGGCACCACCCTGCTGACGGCCCTCCTCGAAAATCTGACCACGACAGCGGCCAGCGGACTGTACGATCCGTACCCGTACGCCAACCAGACGAACGGCTCGATGGTCTTCGAGACGAAGGGGCCGCGCTACTCGCTTGCCTCGATGGTGGTCATGGGCTTCGTAGCGGCGATTCTGAGCACGGTGACGGTGGCGGGCAACGTCATGGTGATGATCTCCTTCAAGATCGACAAGCAGCTGCAGACGATCAGCAACTACTTCCTCTTCTCGCTGGCCATCGCGGACTTTGCCATCGGCGCCATCTCGATGCCGCTGTTCGCGGTTACCACCATCCTGGGCTACTGGCCGCTAGGGCCGATCGTCTGCGACACCTGGCTGGCCCTCGACTACCTGGCCTCGAACGCCTCAGTGCTGAACCTGCTGATCATCAGCTTCGATCGCTACTTCAGCGTCACTCGGCCGCTCACGTACCGCGCCAAGCGCACCACCAACCGGGCGGCGGTGATGATCGGCGCCGCCTGGGGCATCAGCCTGCTGCTCTGGCCGCCCTGGATCTACAGCTGGCCCTACATCGAGGGCAAGCGCACGGTGCCCAAGGACGAGTGCTATATCCAGTTCATCGAGACGAACCAGTACATCACCTTCGGCACAGCGCTCGCCGCCTTCTACTTCCCCGTCACGATAATGTGCTTCCTCTACTGGCGCATTTGGCGCGAAACGAAGAAGCGGCAGAAGGACCTGCCCAATCTGCAGGCGGGCAAGAAGGACTCCAGCAAGCGGTCGAACAGCAGGTGAGTGCTCTTAAATCACTTCAATCCCATGCGTTGGATCCCCCTAAGATGCATCTCTTTTCAGTGACGAGAACACTGTGGTCAATCATGCGGGCGGCGGCCTGCTGGCCTTCGCCCAGTTGGGCGCCAACGATCACGACACCTGGCGACGGCCGCGCTCCGAGAGCTCTGCGGATGCGGAGAGTGTCTACATGACCAATATGGTCCTCGATTCCGGCTACCACGGCATGCACTCGCGCAAGTCAAGCGTGGGTTTCCCCCCTATAGCCCTCTTATCCCATTTGAAATGCAGATACTTATCTTTGGTGCCTATATCCTTGCAGATCAAAAGCACCAATACAATCAAAAAGCCGTACAACTGCTTCGGCAGCGTCAAGGAGTGGTGCATTGCGTGGTGGCATTCCGGGCGCGAGGACTCCGACGACTTTGCCTACGAGCAGGAGGAGCCTTCTGATTTAGGGTATGCAACACCAGTAACAATTGAAACTCCTTTACAAAGCTCCGTCTCCAGGTAGTAAAACAAGCAATCAAAATTCTGATCTTTTATCGTCTATTCTATCGTCTATTGTCTACTCGTATTTTCGAGTAAGCGACACCGCACCGCTCGCACCTCTAGCACCCCTTGCACTCCCATACACACACACACACACACGTATGTCCCTCTGTACATGTGTGGATGTGTGTGTATGCACTGCATCAATGCAACAATTGCACTTAGAGCGCACCACCCCCCACCCACTGACCACTGCCCATCGCCCACCGAACACAAAGATAAACAGAAACAGACACTTTATAAATTTCGATTTCCTTCTTCTCTTCGATGTTTACCCACTAAGAAAACCAACAGCCAACAAAAACTCAGAGTTCGGCTGCCAAATGCCACACATCCATCGCCGGTAAAAGCTTTCAGTTGCACTAATCCCATCCCCATCCCCATCCCCATCCCCATCTCCATCAAAAAACCCCCACAAATCCATCAAAGTCCTCGCACAAACAGAACTCTGCAACATGGCAGAGGCGGTGGCTTGAAGCACTGTGCCCCATGCAAATGCAACGCCCCTGCCAGGGATGGATATTGGTTCTTCAGTTCAGTTTAGTTTATTTTTCGAGAATGTGCCAGCGAAATGTTTGCCTTTTGTCTGAGTTTACCCTCCGTTTTCATGAATTTTTAGTTTATTAATTTTAAGGGTTTGTTAGTTTCCAATTTTGTGTAATTTTATTTGACGATAAAACGAATTATGAGTTGCAATTCAATGATTTTGTGTGTAAGGTTTCTATTTATGGCGATTTTATTTCTAAAACGATGGTTAGCGGAATTTATACGGCCATATCTTGTCTGCATTTTCCATTAATGCCAGCCAATAGAAGTATAACATTTTCCGAGTTTTACAAAGTTTGCTGTTGATTTGTCTCACTTTATCATTATCTTCTATTCCTTAACATAAATACTTGTTTATACATCCTTTTCAATGGAATAATTCTTTTCCAAGCTACATAAAACTCACAGATATACATCTTGTATGTGTACTCCTACTCTGCTATCTGTTTTGTCTGTTGACATAGATCTATTGATATTCTATGTGCCACAAGTTACCTCTAATCAGTGCAGTTTCATGCATGCCCCAACCGTTCAGGTAAATTCCATTAGAGTCTCTCCCTCTATCCCTGTCTCTTTTTGAAGGCAGTGTCATCGAAACAATTGATGTAACTGAAATTTCCGATGAATCTGCATGGACATGTGCCCATTGTGGGGGAAACCCTCCTTATTTCCGGCCTCCCTGCACCCTTTGGTCGCACATTCTCCTTTCAAATGATGCGTGGCCCAGCATTCCGATGAGTAATCGATTTCAGATCAGATATCCGGCGACTCGTTTCCATCCACAACGCACTCTGCACATGCATGAGTATCTCTGTAGTAGCATCCTGTAGCTGTGTGGGTGTCTGTGTGACTGCATGGGTATGCCAGTTAGAAGAGCAGATGCATCCGCTGCCCCATGATGCTGTTGTTCTGATGCTGCTGCTGCTGCTGCTGATGCTTCAGCTGTGGTCTGACAGCCATCTTGTTGTTGCCTGCCAACAGCCATCATAGTGCTGGCACTTGTGTGTGTATGTGTGTGTCAGCATGTGCGTTTGTCTGTGTGTTTGCAGGAATATGCGATACCAATGGCACATCCTTTCTCTCCTCTCTCTACCTCTCGCCCCACAGATGTACCTCGATGAACGTGATGCGGGACAACTACTCGATGGGGGGCAGTACGAGCGGAGTACGGCCCCCCAGCATTCTGCTGTCGGATGTCTCGCCCACGCCCCTGGCCCGGCCCCCGATGCCACTCAGCTCTATCTCGCAGATGCAGGAGCTGAATGCCACCGGAAACAACAGTCAAAACAGCAGCAATAGCGGTGCGGCGGCGAACGCGGGAGGAGCCAGTACAGGGAACGGAGCTGCCATCGGCCTGGGCCTGGGCTTGGGCTTGGGAATGGCCACGGCGAATGGAACGGCCAGCTGCAGCAACACAAACGGCAATGGAAACGCGAATGCGAATGGGAATAGCGCTAATACGGCGGTTCGTGACTCCCGCACGCTGCCCGTGATCAATCGCATTAACTCCCGCTCCGTCAGCCAGGACTCGGTCTACACGATACTCATTCGCCTGCCCTCGGACGGAGCCTCATCCAATGCGGCAATGAGCAGAGCAGGAGGAGGAGGAGGAGGAGGAGGAGGAGGAGTAGGAGCAGGCTCAGGAGAAGCCGCTGCGGTAGGTGCAAGCGCAGTGGCAGTCGGCCAAGGCGATTATGCGCCCTCCATCAAGATGATACAAGAGGATGCGATGCCCTCGACACTGGCCAGCAGTGCAGCAGTCACCACCGTACCCCCTCTGGCCACCCGCCGGCCGTTGCCGTCGCGAGACTCCGAGTTCAGCCTTCCGCTGGGCCGGCGCATGTCACACGCCCAACACGATGCCCGCCTGCTCAATGCCAAGGTCATTCCCAAGCAGCTGGGCAAGGCAGGGGCCGCCGGCGCAGCGGGTGGTGCTGCGGGGCAGCACGCCCTCATGAATGCCCGCAATGCGGCGGCCAAGAAGAAAAAGAAGTCGCAGGAGAAGCGGCAGGAGACGAAGGCGGCCAAGACGCTGTCGGCCATTCTGCTGAGCTTCATCATCACCTGGACGCCGTACAATATCCTGGTGCTGATCAAGCCGCTGACCACCTGCTCGGACTGCATTCCCGCCGAGCTGTGGGACTTCTTCTACGCGTTATGCTACATCAACTCGACCATCAACCCCATGTGCTACGCCCTCTGCAACGCATCCTTCCGGCGCACCTACATCCGTATCCTCACCTGCAAGTGGCACACCCGCAACCGCGAGGGCATGGTGCGCGGCGTCTACAACTAGATCTCACACACTACCCACGCATACACATACAGACTACATACATATATATAAATATATATATTTAGGCTAAGATTCAGTTCGGAAAACTACGTATAGTTGCAATAAATGTTGTGTGCTAAAGGAAGGAAGGAAGGGAGGATATGTTTGGCAAGGAAACCATAAATAGGCTTAGTTATTACCCATTGACAAGCAGTACTGATTTTTTGATGTCTAGCCCCGGATTATATACACGAATATAAATGTATATGTATACACCACTGCTTCGGGAGGGTTGCTATGTAAGTTTGGCCACAGGCTTTCAAGATCAAACGATCCTTTAACGCCGGACTATACTCCAGCAATGTTCTCACCAAAGATATACCCAAGCTTCCTCAGGTTTATGCCATTAAGTTCAGCAACCCTCTCGACCCATCGTGCTTAAGGCCCAAAATCATTTGAGCGATGATCATGATCAGATCAGACACAAGAGATGGTTCGTATCGGAGCGGATCGGATTCCATTTGTTAGGCGTTTAGGTAGGCACATGCTCCAGGCAAAGAATTTAATACAAATTTAATGGATTACGACTTGGAAAACATACAGTATATACACACGCATACATGCATATATATTATTATTATTATTATAATTATATTATATAAAATACACCAGGCAAATATACCCATGTGTAAGCTTTAGGTGTTGGATGCAAGAAGTCATCCTCCACATACGAGTATGGGAAATGGGGAAAAACCAAAACCAAAAAAGCTTTAATACAAGTTCAAACTACGGATACGGATACGGAAACGGAAATGAAGTTGGTGGTTCCGCGGGGCTGGTTGCATCGTTGGGTTCCCATTTAGATCATAATTTTTGTGAAATGTTAGGGGGGACTATAGCTGGGGGGAAATGTGATCGTACTGCTCGTTTTTTGATAGGTTGAAGTCAGTTTTTATATACATAAATGTGCATAGAAAGCAAACCAAAAATTTGTATTGAACCAGTAGTACGTACGTACATATATGTGTACATATATATGTATATGTACATATATGCATTAAATTACGATTATTACAATGTATGTTTTAAGAACGAAACCCACCATAGTTCAAAAACTAAGAACAAAACATTTTTGTAACTGATAAATAATGAAAAAAAAACCCAACAGCGAAAAGCGAAATGTAACAAGAGTAATGTAACCCAAAGCAATAGACACGACCAGACAAGAGATGCCTCCAGTCGAAGGTGCATCAGGCGGGGAGATGGAATGAACTTAGTGCTTATGAGAGCCCACAAGGTTGTGTCGACATACATATATACATATAAAGCTGGGATTCCCTCGACTGGAGGAACATATCTTGCTGCGGCATGGCCGAATCGATCGACATAGTTCTTAAATCCGAAGTATCTTCGAAATGCACCAAATCAAGTAACTCCAACTAAAATTGCAAGCATATTAAAAGCATATGAGAGAATAAAATACAAAAATAGAAAAATACAGTCTAAGCAAAAGATAATCGGTACGCCCGGATCGAAACCCTTTTTATGAGTGTGTAGCTAACTAATCGAATGATCTAACAAATTGTCGGAGGCCTCTGGAGGCGAAATCAAGCTGAAATCAAAGCAACATTTGTAGTCTCTGCGGCACAAGACGTGCGTATTTATACCTAACGATACGATACGATATATTATACTATATACATACGAGTATAGCTATATATAAATATGGAGTTTAGCCTGGCAACCAAACCAAGTAAACCAACTACAAACCCAAAAGACATGATTTACAACCACACGCACATCCAAATGAAGCATATGTAGTACGATTAACGTATATCTCAGCAAAACCAAAACACCAATCGAGCAAACCAACCTAATACGAGTATATATACATAAATACATACATATAGATAACCTTTTGACTACGACGAACAGATTGAAGTACATACAAATATATAGTAAGAGGATTACAGTACGAGTAGGACGCGTTTTGATGATGAGATTGGAGGGGAGTGGAGTGAAGTAAAGTGGAGTGGAGGTTTAATTGCATACAATCTAATTGTTTGGAAATACACTATGATATATAGTAATACATATATGAATTAAAGCTAACAATAAAACATGTGAATGAAAAGCAGGCTGACAAAATCCTTCCTTTCCTAAGCAGAGTGCTGGTTGGAAATATTCGGGTTTTACTTTGTATTCGCCTCTCCATGGCCGTCTCCATCGCTCTGTCCTCGCATCAGTATCTGAACATTCTTTTGGATGGCTTCCAGCTTCTGTTGCATCAACTCCTGGCGCCTCTGCTCCGCCTTCTGCTGCTTGTCCTCCAGCTCCTCGAGCGTGGGCGGCTCCGAGTGGGCCGCCTCCTGCATTAGCTGCTGAATGCGCTTGGGTGGCTGTCTCAAGGTCTCGTTGAGAGGCATCTCCGGCTGCTGTTCTGTGTCAAGCGGAATGGTAAAGGCCTCCGAGGCAGCTGTCAGACAGAGAGGGAGAGAGAGAGAGAGACCGGTAATAAGCAACTCAATCGGGGGCTCCGGTGCACTCACGGTATTCCTTATTGCTGGCCATTCTGTTCGACTTGGCCGACACGGGGCCTTTAGTGTCGTCTATCGTTGGGTTGGACTTGGAACTGGAGCAGCCCATGCTAGGCAGCCAGTAAGTCGTAAGGCATTACGTCTAAGACTTCCGTTTTAGCTCTTCCTTCCTATACCTTTTGCAGCCGCAGGGATAATGACAAAAGGATGCTGCTGATGCTGATGCTGCTGATTCTACTGCTGCTTCTGCTGCGACTACGGTTAATGTGATTTCCTGTTGCATCCGCTTGGCTACACTCAATATTCAATTTCCGCTGCTGTCACACTCATTAGACTTCAGTCGAAGGAGCAGCTGAGGACTACATTTAATGGCTCATTAGTATTGATTTTCTTGGGCTTTTCCGATACGACGCAATACTGTACCTCCTGGCGGTGCGCGTTCCAGGACACTGGCAGGTGTGTGCGGCCGTTTGTCAGGCGAGCGGCTGGGCAACTGACTCGAAAAATTGCAATGCAAAGTTTTCCGCGCTCGTGACCATTAATAATAATAATTGCATAGACAGGGGCAGGGACAGGGACAGGGACAGGGACAGACAGGATCAATATTCACATGAGGCTTGCGTGGGTGCCAGTGGCCAGGCCGAACACAGACAGACACGGACATGGGCCCACTGGTCGTAGTCCTAGTCCTAGTCTAAGCCCCTAATGTCAATCAACTCTGGCTGGGGCTCTGGCTATGGCTGTGGCTCTACTGGCCACAATCGACGCTAATTGTGGTGGCAGACACAACTTCCCCGGTCATGAGACTATAGATGTATGTATGTATGTATGTGTATGCCGCAAGTTTAGTGACCCACTCAACTTTGACCACGGCCGGGGAGGAAAGAGTGGGCTTTGATTTCTGTCTCAACAGTTTGCCCATTGTCACCGCTTGGCCATAAAAGACCATGGCCCAAACACTAACAACTTCCGGCTATGGGCTGGGCTGGGCTGGGCTAAGAACTGGTCCCGCACGGAAGCGCGGGCGCGTGCCAATCCACCGCCCAGGTCGTCCACACTTAACCACTCACCACCACAGCTGCCATTAGTATGTGCCACACGTTGCGCCTTTGTGGCCAGGGTCTCTCGCATGCAAATTGCCCCAGCCGCAGCCGCAGCGGAAGCGCAACCGTCACCGTCACCCCCCCCACCAAGACACTCATCCGTGGGCTGTAACAGGTGCTGCAGTGTGGTGCGGTGCGGTGTGGTGCGGTGCGGTGTGGTGCTACCTGCGCTAGTAAGTAATGAGCGACGTTTAATTAGGTTAAGTGTCAATAAGATGATGTCGTCAATCAATCAATTGCAAAATACTCAACATGGACATCCATCAAGCGGCTAAATACCAAAAGGCATTTATTTGTCTGTCGCACACTTTTTTCCTGAGTGTGCTTAATCCAAGCCTTCTCATAGATACTCACCTTCCATTCGTGTGTATATGTATGAGAGTGTGTGTGTGTGTGTGTGGGGCGTGGCCAGTGTTCGGTAAGTGCCATTGCGAATGAATGGTTAAACGGCAAATACCTTTGGTCGACTGCTTGCACTTACATAGCTGAAGGGGAGTATCTATCGAGGGAAAGTGACATTTAAGGGGGTTCTGAACTACTTTAAGAAAATCGAAGAATTTCTTTGCCTGTAGTGCTCCGAAAATAAGCATTATCCATTTGTTTTATATGCAAAAAAGTGTTTCATATATATTTATGTATTGTATATAATATAATAAAACAATATAAACTATTAACAAAGCAACTTGACCTCTGCGGTTTAGGAACATCCTCATCCTCATTATCCTTCTCTTTCTTCCCTCCTTATCGATCTTGATCCCGAACTCAATATGATGCTTTCATAGCTTGCAGAACATTTTTTTTTTGTAAACTTACGTATAGTTTCATATATGTAGATATGCCGTTGGCAGGGTTGGGTTTCTCCTTCTCTTCTTTTTATATAGGTATAAAAATAGTTTATGTACGACATAATAATGGATATACTCGTAGTAGTATGACTTAGAGTTAGCAGGCGATCGTGAAAACTTTATATAGACTTTGCGAAGACGGGTACTGGGGATCCCTTGCTGCTGCTTCTTCTTTTGTTGCGGGCCAGTGCTGATAAACGCCGTTCTCAGTGTTGGACAAGCAGTGGTCGTAGCGGGGTGCTAATCATACTCCTGTTTGATAACCAACGATGCTTTCTCGGGTGTTTGCTCTGACTTGATAGCCGTGGAACCCACTCCTCCTCCGCCTCCGCCTCCTCCTCCAGGACCACCGCTGGACGATGAGGCCGCCAATTTGTTGCCCTTGATCAGACTGGCTGCCGTGGAGCTGAGCGGGATAGTCACATATTGATTGCCATCTGGCGGATAGAGACAGTCGTGAAATCTATGGTGAAACCTTCGGTAGTCTTTGCAACACTCACCCTCTTCAGCGTGCAGCTGCAAGTGTCCCGTTTGTATCAGTTGCCTCAACATTTTCGGCGGTATGTTGGCAAAGGAGGCTCCCGGATAGACATATTTGCCATCCCCCGACGATCCTCCTCCGGCAGTTGTTGCCGTGGACGTTGAGGGTCCTTTCTCAGTCTGATAGCTCAGTGCTGGCATCGGCTTGGATGCCGCTACTGCAGTTGCCGTTGCAGATGTCGTTGCAGTCGCCGCTGCCGTTGCCTCTGTTTTGCTGGGATCCTGACTGGCTGGCACTTTTGTGGCCACCACCTCGGACACCACTTCAGCGGGCATTTCCACGTCCGAAGAGTCGTCCGACTCATTGCCCGACGATGTTGGCGATCGATCATCCTGCAAAAAAAAGATAGACACTCGATTAGTGGGGTTCTTCGCTGTGCAGCCAAACAGTCTGGTGCTGCTGCTACTGTTGCTGCTGCTGATGCTGATCTTAAGCCAGAGCTAAGTTGAGGATGATTGCCGGGATGGCTGCCTGATCTGGCTTGGTCTGGTCTGGTTCGTTCTGGCCTGGTCTGGGTCTGGGTCTGGGTCTGAGCCTGTTCTATATGCCAGCCCAGTGCCTGACAAAAAATCCAATATGTTTGGACCAAATATGGCGCGAAATTGCGTATAAGTGCTGGCCAGGCTGTTCGCCGGCACGCATCTCAATGAGCTGGCGTTGCCTTAAATGTGCACACGCGTTAAAGAATTTAGAATATTGATTTCTGACTCTCTGGCCGGCAACGGGGACGGTGACGGTGACGGCAACGGCGACGTGCACAGTGCGGGGACATCATCCGTGGCATCGCCTTGTCTGGTATCGTTCGCGTCATTTTAATTTTGATTAGTGCCACAGGTAGAGGCACAGGCAGAGGCAGGGTGTAGGGGCAGACAGTACTGGAGGCACTGCAGCGACGGAGCGAACAAAAAATAAATCAAAATAATTGCAAACTGTAACAATGCGATCGCCATTTTGTGCGAGGGAGATCGCAATGGCATTGCGCATACGCCGCGTGCCCCGTCCACAGACTTCCAATGAAATTGTAGCAGCCACAGCCACAGCCACAAGCACAGGCAGCAGCAGCAAAAGGCAAAATCGCATTGTTGCCGCTGACTAAAATGGGCGTCGTCGTCGTCATCGTTGTCGTTGTCGTTGTCGTTCGTCTGCTGCCAGCCAGTCGCTTGGCCAGTGGATCAGACGACCGCCTTTTGAGTGACAGCACCAAGACATTTTAATTAGCAAAAGCAACGACGACAAACTGTCTCCAAGTTGCCATGATATACTTGGCAACAGCAGCAGCAGCAGCAGAAGCAGTAGCAGTAGCAGCAGCGGCAGCAGAAGTTGCACTTGTGGCAGTTGCAACTGTTGTTACGCTTGCGGGCTTTTCAGTGGCATCAAGTGGCAGACAGAGGTGCACAAAGAGGAAGGCAGAGAGAGGGCTGAAAGTGGAGCTGCTCGTGCGGAGGTTACAGAGTGACAGGCCAGGCCGCTTGGCAACAATCAAAGTCAAACGGAAGGAACCAATAAACCCACCCAACGATCTCATAAATCAGTAGTTTGTATCAATTGATGTTTATTTCCTATTTATCTTATCTAGCCCCTACCACCTTTCGGATTTAATTACAGACCACAAAACAGACGATTTCACTTTGTTAAACACATCATTAAAATTCGCTACACAATAAACGAATAAACAAATAAATATATTTTAAGAAAACATTAAAAAAAGCCATTTGCCAATAATTAAAAAAAGAGAGAGAGAAAAAATGGGAAAAATAGATATATGCGCCCCCGGGTGGACTCGAACCACCAACCTTTCGGTTAACAGCCGAACGCGCTAACCAATTGCGCCACGGAGGCTCTTGAAAAACGCACCGACAATGGCCCCATTAAGGGTTTTTGTTGGAGGAGAGCTTTCCACTTGGTTTATATAGGAGTTGAATCATGTTATATGGTTCTTCTGTTGATATTTATTATTATGAGATTAAAAGCAAAGGATCATAATTTATAGACTTCTATAGATTATATTCTTTGAAATGTTGAATGAAAACTACGAAATATAAAGGAGAGATGTCTTAAAGTATAATTTAGTGCAAGGAATTCTGTAACTCCCACTGAAAAATTGTCTTTAAAGTGTTCCGGTTGTAAGCCATTCATTAGTGAACTTCCAGCGAGGGATAGACAGACCTTGGAGCTGTGTGGCACACCCACTGCCAGTTCCATTTGCGCATCAACCCAAAATGCAATTTGAATTTGCTTCACAAACAAAAGCACAGCACTGCACACTGCCTCCACACGTGGGACTGTGAGCTAAAACAGACAGACAGCAGGAGGACAACAGGACGACAAGTTAGTTTTGTCAGCGATTCGAACAGTTCCATCGATAGCATCCATAGCTCCTGCTTGTGGTACCCCTCTACCCCTCTACCCCTCCCCCTTCCCATTCCCAACTGGTGATGCTGCCTGCCAAATTGATAGTCGTGTGTCGTGCGCAAATGCCGAGCGTGTCTCATTAAATGACAATTAGAGCTGAGAGCTGAGAGATGAGAGGCAGAGACAGGAGCGGGAGTCGGGGAAACCCTGCCCCTGGTTGGGGCTTCGACTCGGTATCGGAATCGGACTCCGGACCCCGAACCCCGAACCCGGAGTTGGCAATTGGTTGGATGGAATGCCACTGGTCGGGCCAATGGCATGCAATTTATATCGAAATAATGCCGGGCATTGTCTGGTCCGATCTGGCCTCGCTGGCTATCGGGCTGGCTTCGAGAGAGCCTGCGACAAATGCAATTATATAGAAATTTGTCTTGCTGTGATATGTGCGGCATGTTGTTGTTGTGGTTGCTGCTGCTGCCACTGCTGCTACTGCTGCTACTGCCGCTGTGGCTGTGGCTGTGTGGCCATCAGCAGCTCCAAAAATAGGCAATTTGGGAAAGGCTAATAATAAATGTTGGCAATAGTCGTCAGTCCGTCCGTCAGTCAGTCAGTCAGTCAGTCGTCAAAAGCATTGAATGAATGAATTTTCAAATTGGCTAACTGACATTCACAACCAAGGTGGCATTTTATTTGCCCCAAAAGTGAATGCGAGTCAATTCGGTGGCTGCCACACATCCACTGTATCCACTGAATCCACTGGATGCATGTCCAACTGCAACTGCAACTCCACTACGCCGCCGCCGCCGCCGCCACCGCCGCTCGTGTGGTGTCGTGTGACCTACACCACCAGCGCGACTGACTCAATGATTGACGGATGGCACATTTGCCAATTGATTAGTTGTTTTTACCAAAATGGTTGTTGCCACAACAAAAGGCGACAACTGTGTGGCAGTCAGCACCCGCTTCGAGCCAATGAAAGAAGGAACAGGCCGCATCTAAAACAGCAACAGCAACAGCAGCAGCCACAGCAAACAGCTAAAACAGTGTTAGCCCATTCTCAGTTTAGCTCGTTGAGATCGTTCAGCATTTGGCCAATAAACATTTGCATTTTGCATGTTGCATGTTGCTGTTGCTACCACTGTTGCTGTTGCTACTGCTGCTACTGCTGCTACCGTTGAAGCCGTGTACATCTACCGCCGCTGATAACTTAAGGCCGAAAACAAAGGAATAGCCAAATGTGCTAGCCTCAGCTCTCAGCTCTCAGCTTCCACTCCACTCTCAGATCCACTCGGTGCCACTCGGCTCGGATCTGCTGAAGTCAGCGGGCTCCATTGATGCTGGCGCTTTCAATGAAAACATAAAAATAAAAATGCAAATTAAGCCTGGCAAACGAAAGCACTTAAATCTAACGCACAATTGCCCAGGGAACGGGATGGGGATGTGGGATGGGTTCCGACAGTGGTTCGAAAACAGGAAGAAACCCACCAACCAAATCCATCTTTTCGAAGGGGTTCTTTGCCATCCTTAAGAGCTATGGGAAATCAGTATCCGACACCACTGTTCCTTGATTTTGTAGGAGGAATCACACAATCACAACCACAGGACAGGACAGGACAGGACAGCGGGGCTCTGCAAATTCTCAACAGGAAACGTTGGGGCAAATGGCATCGGCCTGGGCATGGGCATGTGGCATGGAGTATGGGGCAAGCAAAATGGGGCGGCTTGTGAAAACAAAAGCCAGAAAGCCGAAAGCCAGAGCCAAAGTCAGTTGACACGAAACAGCACAGCACAGCAGCAACAACCAAACAACCAAACAACAACCAACAAACAGCAGAGGAAGACACACAACCTCCTCCACTGCGTAGAAATTTGCTGAAGAGCTGGTGCTGCTGCTGGTGGTGCTGCTGGATGGTTTGGCCATTTGGTCTCTTCCACAATTGTCGTCGTTGTAGTCGCATCCGGGCCGGGCCTGCCACCACAATATGGAGTCTTAAAGCGTTTATATCCGCCAAGCTTTCTGGCCGGCTTTCTGTTTTTGGTCAAATCACAGTTTTGTTTTCTGTTTGCCGCTTCCCCGCCATTTCTGGGATTGGTAAGCGCTGTGCTGCGGTTACACGGATTCACGCGCAAAGAAAGCGGCCAGCAGGAAGTACTCGACTCGTACTCGTACTCGTACTGGGAAGAGAGTCACTCGTTGAGTCGTGAGTGGAGAGAGAGAGAAAGAGAGATAGAGAGCAATCGAGTGGGAGAGAGTTCAAATTCATTAGTTGGGCAGAGTCGCGGCTTCAGTTATGATGGGAATTAGCATCTATTTAAATGTCAGTCAGGGGCGCATTAAGATGCCACGATTGCCCTCAGCCAGGGCCAGAGCCAGGGCCAGGGCTTATTGTTTTCCGTTTGGCAATTATTTGCCCGAAATTGCACTCGCCGAAAACCCCACGGAGAGGCACGCAGCGGAGTGTTCTCCAAGGAAGCTCCAACCCGGTTGCAGGTATTTCTTTCAGTGGGCCGAAACGGAGCGAAACGAAACGATTGTCCTCAGGCCTAATTATGCGTGCGACGACAGCCGAACAAGCCCCCGAACAGGACAGCAGGCCGCAGATGAAACGCCACCGATTAGCAAGGGGCATAGCTGCACCTTACCCCCCCACCCCACCTCGCCAAGAGCACCCATAGCTCCCAATTCCTGCAATTTATGATGGGCACTAACAACCGCAAAACAAGCCAAACAAACAAATGAATTGAGGCACAGAGGGACACAGAGGCCCACAAAACGAACAAACAGTTGAATGGAAATTGCAATTATACGCGAATACTCGTACTCGTACTCTGTCCAAAGCGGTCCAGGGGTAGAAGGAGGAGGATGAGGAGGAGGAGGAGCACCATGTGGGTGCCCGGACAAAGCTAGTAGCTCGATGTTTAGCTAGATTTAGCCAAAGCAAAGAAGGCCCCTAACTGCCCATACAATCTGGAGCCGCTG